TAAATGAAGCAGTCTAAATTTTAAAACGATTTTCAATCCCTACTTTGGTTGGTATTGTGATCCGTATAGCTAAATGAAGCAGTCTAAATTTTAAAACGATTTTCAATCCCTACTTTGGTTGGTATTGTGAACCGTATAGCTAAATGAAGCAGTCTAAATTTTAAAACGATTTTCAATCCCTACTTTGGTTGGCATTGTGAACCGTATAGCTAAATGAAGCAGTCTAAAGCAGCCTTCCCTCTAGTCTTACACTGCTAAATTAGGGACGGCTGGCGCAGATAGCCCTCGTGTAGCTTTGCGCGAAATTAAAAAAACAAAACAAACTTTCCGTTAAAGTTTTAATTTTTTATATTTATTATAACAAACATGTAAAGTATTGAACTGTTCAGAATATTACTTAATATTTTTGATGCTTTTATTTACGAAAAAATGAAAAACAATCATCAAAACACTTCCACCAAATATTTGTATTTATTTGTGGTAAAAATCTGTTAGTCTGCTGTTGTTTGTTTTCTTTATAACATTCCTCTTAATTTGACCTTTAAAGGTTTGCCCATAACGGATACCGAAATAGAGGTGTATAGTGAACAGATAAATAGTGTTTAAAGTAGACGTGTATGTATCATTGTCTAGCCCAGTTGACGAGTTATGGTAGTGAACGATAGGTCTTCTGAGCAGAGACTTGTGGGAGACAATAAATAATTCTGAAATGCTATTTTTACACACTACTGATTTGATGTCCGTAGTTCTTAATTTCTGCCGGGTCTTTCCTGATGTGAGATCCACAATCTGTTTTTGAAATTTTAAGGCGAAAACACTAGTCAGTGTTAATACTGCCTCGGCTGTATTGCGAATTGATATTTGACTGATGTAATCAACTGCTTTATTTCCTTCTAGCCCCATCTCTAACGGTATTGTACATAATACTTTTCAAAACTCCTGCCGCCCCCCCCCCCCACCAATCCTCCAACAGGAGTCCGGTACTTTTTTTTTCTTTTAGGATTTAAGTACTGGAAATTCATATTAGATAAATCAGGAAGATTGTGTTAAAAATGGTCTATCTAGCGAGATTTTTATCGCGAACATTAGGCCTATTGTTTTACGATGCTTCACCAGCCTCAGGCGTTGAAAACCTTAACGAGTGTTCTGATCACAGTTTCTCATCATCATGGTACATATATTTATTTTGATTACATCCTCACCATGCCTCTATAACGTTTCCTATTTTGGTTTTCATTTTCCGACATTTGCAGTTTTTCCGTATGGATAGCAAAATTCATTGATATTCACTCAAAAGACAAAGACTTGCAAGTTTTTATCATTTCAGTAACAGAGACGATAAGTTGATAATTCATTCGTAATATGCGCCATTATACTTCGGAGAATAAGGCCAATATAAAATGAATGTTAATGGTTTTATTGAATCAAAATAATCTTGTGTGTGTATATGTTAATTATGTTTTTAAAATACTCGAACAGTTTTTCAAAAGCAAGGCCCCAACCCTCAGTGGCTCAGCGGCAAGTCTGATGGCTTATAATGTTAAAAATCGAGTTTCGATACCTGCTGTGGACAGACCACAGATTGCAGAATTTGTACCTTTGTGTTTAACAAGAAACAAAATGAAAACCGGTAATTCCAAATATGGGAGACTATATTTTTTCTTTTACCCATTTTACCCAGAATTCTAAAGAAATATTTGATTGTACTGATGGAAACTGGCAGTTACGTAACCTCTACCCCGCGGTGGACAGAGTGCATATAGCCCATTGTTTAGCTTTGCACTTAGAAACAACAAGAACATAACTTTTTCAAATGAACTTTTATTGATGCACGTATAAATCAATATCGATTATTTATTTAGCGAAACGGACGATTAAAAAAAAGCCTGTTATCAAATTTGTCAACACCTACTCAATATTAACGTTAACTTTAAGAAAAATTAATGCATTGTATTGATTCTTTTAATGAAGATTTTGTAAATTGAAGACATCGTTGTCACAATAGTATTGCATGGCGAACTTTATTTTCTTAGGTTCAAATAAAATATAATAAACATGTATCGTTGAACTTTGTCCTGTTATTGTTTATTTATTTTTAATTAAAATATTTCTTGAAATCAAATTGGTAGCCGTAAAGTTTGGGCCTGGCATGACCTTGTGGTTAGGGCGCTCGAATCGCAATCTGTCGGTTGTGGGTTCGTTAACGAACATGTTCGCTCTTTCAGAGCGGGGGCGTTATAACGTGACGGTCATTCCCACTATTCGTTGGTAAAATAGTAACCCAAGAATTGGCGGTGGGTGGTGTTGACTAGCTGCCTTCCCTCTAGTATATCACAGCTAAATTAGGGACGGCTAGCGCAGATAACCGTTGAGTAACTTTGAACGAAATTCAAAACGAACAAACCGTAAAGTTTGAGTTCGGGAATTGTTCGTTAAATTTTTAAAAGAATAAAATAAAAAAGAAGAAATGAATTGTATCATTGCTCTTCATAGGAAAAAATGTATCGCATCTGGATTTTTACGTTAGAATAAGAAAGAAACAAAATCTTCAAATAATTGGATTTTAGACTGAAGAGCGACGTAATTTATTACAAAGGATTTACACATTTCAAAGTTTAAGGCTGAAGTCGATATTTATAGAGACGTACAATTTTTATACAAGCACGAAGAGAATCGATAAAAAGGTGATTTCAAAGAACACTGATACTCCACATTTTATTCTATTTGAAGAATTTATTGGAAAACAACATTTGTGATCAAAAACGGAGTAACGAAATCTTGTGGAAGTATGGTTAAAATAAAGGTTACACAAATGAATAATTGTAGACATGCTAATAGTAACCGTCTCTTGAAAATTTCTTAAAAAAAGTTACTGAAATAAGGAATTTATTTGTTCTTTGACTAAATGATATCACAAGATAGATAATCCAGTTAAATGAACTAAATTAAGAGATGCTTCCTATGTAAGTGAAATAAGCAGTACATTAGGACAGGGATTAAAGCAACACAAGAATCATAAAGACTTTTACACCTGATGAAATCTGCAGTTTTTTAACAAATAGAACACTGGACAGCTGTTAACTAGGCAAATAAAATACACACAACATAATATTGGAAAATCGAAAATGCCCTTATGATCAAGATTCATAGGTCCATATATCTTAGGCCTGGTGGTTTTGGCCCTTGACTCGCAATCTCCGGGTCGTGGGTTCGAATCCCGTCACCGGATATGCTCGTCCTTTCTGTCGTGGGGACTTTATAATGTGACGGTCAATCTCCCTATTCGTTGGCGGTAGGTGGGTGGTTTTGACTTGCTGCCTTCACTGTATTCAGTCACTTCAAAAGGACGGCTAGCGCATATAACCCTCGAGTAGCTTTTCAACAAACAAGTGAACCATACACTTTAACAGTGACTTAAAATACCCATATTCTTTTTGTGACACAGCGATGATGTTCTATTCCATACCTAACATAAATGCATTCGATCTGACAAACAGCCCCAAGTTACTCATCCTAGGCGATTTAAATAATAATAAATAAAAAAAACCGCATCATATTAATTTCATTTGACGCTAAATGTGAAAATACGCCTTAATCCGATTAGTAACACTGATGCTTTACTGGCGACTGGTATCAACATATTGATAGTTTTATTCCTTGAACTATTTAAGAAAGTTTAAGGTTTGCATACCACTCTGCAAGAGCTGGCGTAGTCGAAGGGTCCGTGGTTCGAGATGTAACGCTGCCGAGCACGCTTCGCACTTTCAGCGGTGAGTGCGTTATAAAAGTGACAGTCAATCCCATTTTTCGATTCACAGAACTGGACAAAACCCTTTGGGTGGCTTGTAATTCAAAATTTAGGATAGCTATTCAATTTTTTCACACACACACACACACACACACTTACGCAGAAAGATTTATTCCAACGCCAAGTTTCTATTCTTAAATGTGTTGTTCCAACAAGCATTACTATTGTTAGTTTGTGATATTGTTAAAAGAAATATTCTCTACATAGAGGATAAAAAAAGACTAAATATTAAGTCACTGATTAAGAAAGAGTAATGAATTTCTTTGCTTCGCGTCAAAACGAATTATCTTAATGGACAAAAATTATTCCTTATTATTATTATTATGAAATCATTGTAATCAAACCTCAAGCCTAACAAGTACTTTTAACTCCCTATGTTTATTCCAGCGGGTAAGCTCGAGGGATTTCAATGGGATCTTTTACCTTGTTGGCTCCTATATATATATATTTTTTTTTTTTCTTATGATGACTTTCACCGATTGTTGTCTTTCCACGAGCTGTTTCCTTTCTTGACTTCTTCTCATTTTCTCGTGGTCTTTCTTCCCGATAGTCGAAGAAGTGGATAAATACACACTTGGGCTACTCTGAATAGTAAAAAAGAACACCATTTCCTCAATATCTATCACAGAAATTGACCTTAGCAATGGCTTTAATTCGAATAAATAATATACTGAAGTACTCGTAAAAAAAGTATAAAAAAATTGTATTTTAAGAACCGTATTTCTGCTGTAGCAGTAGTTAAAGTACGAAAAGTTAACCGCAGTTATGAAATAGATAAAATGTATATTTAATTAAACAAGATACATTTTATCTACTGCTCTGTCATGCTTGCAGAAATATTGAAATATTTCGTACGAGACTGGACAACGACGTTAATATGTATTAGTAATTGTAAAACTGTCTATTGCTTTAAAATACGTTCAACTTTAGAGAGAGTGTTATTAGTTAACGTACGTTGCGTTAATCTATTGTAAAATGTACTGACAGTGCGAATTTCTCTTGATAACAGTCAAAGTTTGTCTCGTTTCTCTAAAGTAGGCCTAACGTAATTATCTGATTAGCCGATGGTAGGTTAATAAATACTGTTGACACTATCATTTCACAGTTTCGAAAAAGTTATTAAACATTTTAAGATAGATTTTTTAGCTCCTGTTTCTGTTCTAAAGGGTTTTGTCCTATAAATTAACGTTCGAAAGGCAAAATAATATATATATATATTACAATTATACGTGTAGTAATGCCTTATTAGATGGTTCGAAGTCTCTGGAAACGTGTAATAGATTACAGTGGTGACAAATTCAATATTGTCTGAGTTTTGAAATAACGTCCCCCAGTGGATCAGCGGTAAGCTTTGTTATAATTTAAATTTAGTAGTTAAATCGTACTTTGGATTTAATATTTAAATATATGCAGATATATTAGTCAATTTACGATATTTGCC